GAAAGGCGAAAGGTCATAAACAATATGAAGACTTCAAGTCAACATAAAAAATATATCCAGTGTCATTGACAGTTGTTAAGTATATTCTCCAAAACGTCCTTGAGTCCTAAGAAACCAGAAACCACCAGAAACATATGGGTGGCCTGGTCTCCAAGTCATGCCTGATCTCCTCCCTGTCAACTGTACAAGCCATTCTTTCTTTCTTCTTTTTTTTTTTTTTTTTGGAGACAGGGTCTTCCTCTGTTGCCCAGGCTGGAGTGCAATGGCACAATCTTGGCTCACTGCAACCTCCGCCTCCCGGGTTCAAGCAATTCTCCTGCCTCAGCCTCCCAGGTAACTGGGATTACAGGTGTGCACCACCATGTCCAGCTATTTTTGCATTTTTAGTAGAGATGGGGTTTCACCATGTTGGCCAGGCTGGTCTCGAACTCCTGACCTCAAGTGATCCACCTGCCTCAGCCTCCCAAAGTGCTGGGATTACAGGTGTGAGCCACCATGCCTGGCCATCAAACCATTCTTGTGTCAAGAATATATATTCAAAATAGTAAATGCTAAAGGATGCAACAAAGGAGCTGAAAGCTGCTGTCACAATACCCCATTTACAAGGAAACTTTTGATTTATCATATTTAAGGTATCATTTTTAAACATTCTATGTTAAAGTCATCCAGGTAATATGATAACAGTTTACGGAGGGGTCAGGCTTCTAACTATACATAAAACTAGAAATCCAAACCCAAAAGGTGCTGGACACTCTTCAAAGTTAGCATAGGACTCAATATTCAGCACTCTGCATTAGTAAGTTTAAAGAAACTGAACACCAGCTTAGGCCAAGAGAACGATACAGAAAAAGAATTCATTGACAATAAAAGCAGAAACCATTCAGTGTTAATAGGTTTAATATCCTTTCCGATATTAATGCAGAACATGAGACAATGATATTCTGCTAACAAGGCAGAAAATTGAACTAAGTAGATTGACATTTACTTCAAGAGGCTACGAGCTTAAATTTAGGATAGAGACAAAGGAATACATAACTGATCAAGAATCTTAATTTCTGAATGACTGCCAGGCTTAGAAGTAACCGAAACATTACAGCTTCCTTTAAAACTATTTTTTCATAATCTAGAAGGATAATATAAAAGGCAACATAATAACCTGTTATTTGTTGGTTATGGTTTTTTCTTTTTTAATTTCTAAATTTTTTGTAGAGACAGGGTTTCACTATGTTGCTCAGACTGGTCTCCAATTCCTGGCCTGACGATCCTCCTGCATCAGGCTACCAAAATGCTGGGATTACAGGCATAAACCACTGTGCCTGGCTTATTAGTTTTGCTAGACTACCTAGTTTTAAGCTCTGGCTCTTTTTATGTGCAACTTTTAATATGCTTTCTTCTTTCTAAAATTAATTTTTAAACTATATTCTCCTTGCAAAATTAGTTACCAATATTTTTAAAGGCCTATTTGACACCCTTTCAACTTCATTGCCTTTGTCCACCTCTCTAGTGGTAATCTCTATTAAATATTTGGTGCTTACTCTTTCAAATATTTTTCTGTGCATATCTATGAACCTTGAAGGGGAAAAATGTAGTATAGTTGTATATGGACTTAAAAAATACAAAAGGTTTCATACTGGATGTATCTTTAGCCATTTTGTTTTGTTTTCCTGCAACAATGTATTTTGGAGATGGTACAACATTAATATACATAGAACTACTTCCGTTTTTCATACTATGCACAAAATGTCATAGTTTATCTAAACCATGTTTAGTTACTCTCCTTTGAATGATATTTAAGTTGTTCATATAATTATAAACAATGCTGCAAAAAGCATTCCCTATACATACCCCATTATGCATGTACATGAGTTTTTTTTCTTGAGGGTAGACTTTGAAAAGTGAAATGCACAATTTGAATATTAATGGACAGTACTAATTTACTTCCAAAGTATTTCCACCAATTTATGAACCCACCAGCAGAATATCAAAATACTTGCTTACTCATAACCTCACCAACTCTTGAAATTATCAATCTTGTTCTATTTTGTCAGTCTGATGGATTGGTTTTTTATTTTTTGATTGTATTTCCTCAAATACTAACAGAATAAATACATTCTGATATGCTGACACCTTCCTCTTTTGTTGCTCACTGATTTCTATTCTTTACCTACTTTGCAACTAGGCAGCTTGTCCTTTTTGTTTGTTTCAAAGGAAATTTATTCTATCGGTCTTTTGTCATGTATAGTTCAAATATTTTTTTCTCAGCCTTTTAACTGAATATGTAATGTTTTATTGTAAGGGAATTTATTTTTTAATAGAAACAAATGTATCTTTTTTCCCTTATGATTTCCACTTTTCATGTCATCCTTAGTACTATAACCCACAACTATAAGATATTTTTTATATTTATTTCTAATGCTTTTATAGTCTGAATTATATCTGAACCTTCAAAACCACCGTGAATTTATTTTTGTAAGGTACAGTTCTGTTCTTGTTTTTCAAATATAAACAGGCAAATTTTTAACTTATCTGAACCCCAATTTCCCTACCTTTAAAACGAGGGTAATAATATCTACCTCATGAATGCTTTAAGATTTTTAAAAATTATGTTCTTAAATTGCCTAGCACAGTCCTTGACATACAATAAATGTTTACTACATTTGTTAGTTGTATCTGAAAATAGTTAATACATATTTAATAGTTATATTGAGCATATATGAATAAATTAACAACATATTTAATACTTAAAATACTTAACAAAAACAGAACCAAGCAGTATAGATCATAAAAACTACTGGTCGGGTCAGGCGTGGTGGCTCACACCTGTAATTCCAGCACTTTGGGAGGTCGAGGCAGACGAATCACGAGGTCAAGAGAGCGAGACCATCCTGGCCAACATGGTGAAACCCTGTCTTTACTAAAAATACAAAAATCAGCCAGGCATGGTGGTGGGTGCCTATAGTCTCAGCTACTTGGGAGGCTGAGGCAGGAAAATCACTTGAACCCAAGAAACAGGTTGCAGACAGCCAAGATTGCACCACTGTACTCCAGCCTGGCAACAGAGAGAGACTCTGTCTCAAAAAAAACAAAAACCAAACGAACAAACAAACAAACAAAAAAGCTACCAGCCAGTCCACACTGGAAATTCTGTTCATATAACAATCAGTAGGTTAGGTCAGGTGTGGTGGCTTATGCCTATAATCCCAATACTTTGGGAAATTGAGGTGGGAGGATCACTTGAAGCCAGGAGTTCAAGAACAGCCTGGGCAACATAGTGAGACTCCATCTCTACCAAAAAAAAAAAAAATTTAATTAGCTGGGTGTGGCGGCACATGTCTGCAGTTACCCAGGAGGCCAAGGCGGGAGGATCACTTGAGCACAGAAGTTCAAAGTTGCAGTGAGCTATGATCGTGCCATTATATTCCAGCCGTGGCAACAGAGTGAGACCCCAACTCAAAATCAACAGCAACCTGCCCCCGACCCCAGGGGGTTAGCCATGTGTGGAAACCACAGCTACAAGACATATTGATCATTCTTGGGAGTATGGAAGGTACAGAATGGTTTTAATATTTATTGAGCACTTACTATATGTCAGGAAGTGTTTTAAGCACTACATAGGTTTTCTCTAGTGACCCCTCAAGGTAACTCTATGAGTTAGGTACTTACGTCACCATTTTAAAAATGAGAAAATTGAGGCACAAAAAGGCTAAGTAACTTTTGCAAGGTTCCATGGTGAGTTGGCAGTAGAATCAGAACATGAACCCAAGCAGTCAGTTTCAAAAGCAGTACTTCTGGTCACAGGCTAACCTGCCTTAGTAAAAATCCCAAAAAGATCTTAAATCTCAAGAAGCAGGTATTATTCCTCCAAACAACAGAAGACTCCAGGCTCAGAGAAGAAAAGTAATTTGTTGAAGGTCAGGACATGGAGCAAAATCGGTCTGACCTTAATGACCACAGTCATGCCACCTCTCCACAGCAGTTCCAGCAGGAGGATCTCTGACTGTGGAGTAGTCAATGCCAAAATGCCTTGTCACATGAACAGCGAACATTTACTGGGTGCCTACTGCCAGCCAGACACTCTGCTAGGAACAAAGGCTATGGAAATAAACAAAACACAATTGCTGCCTCCAGGTGTACACAATATATTGTAAAATCACAGAAGAAAGGAACCTAAGTCAGTTGAGGACAAAATGGGGCAGGGCTGGTGAGAGACTTCTTCTAAAAGGAAGTGATCTGGGGTTATTTAAGTGAGCGGAGCAGACAGAGAGAGGTGACATTGAGCACACAGAAAAGTAGGGGGCATAGAAGAACATACACTATAAACTGCCACTGGGTTCCACATTACATAATAATTCTCAATTTCTACTGAATACAATTTTCACAGGAAAAGGTTCCCTCTGGAATAGTGAAAACAGAACAAAACAGATGTACATAGAGAATTGTTTCACTCAGTTTAGATGAAAACTTTGACAACACAAAAGTTCATCTGTAACTTGTTCTCAGTTAACCCTCAAATATCAATAGTGGGACACAGTGGGTCCTCATAATATTCCTTACAACAGACACACGAGAAAGACGTGGTAATAACTCATTCCATCTGAAGTACAGCAGAAAAATTCAAGATATGGCAAAACCAAAGGAATTTCTATTACACTCACTTTTGTTAAGAATAGTATTCAATTTGTAATTATAGATTCACAGAACCGGACAGAATTGTAAAGACTGTCTAGTTCAATTCTCTCACTTGAAGATGGACTGAAACCAAGAGATACTATTATCTGTTCAAAGTGACAGGGTTTCTGTTCAAAGCGACATGGTGACAAGGCAGAACCTACCCATTTGTCTTCAAGGAAACTACAATGAAGGAACCTTTTAAAATCCATTGTATTTGAAGATTAACAATAATCACATGTGATTTAGCATAGGGCTAAAATAACACAATGCTCCTTTAAAGGCAGAATTTTCCATACTGCCAAAGACTCCGTATGTAGAAGCATACTTACTTCATCAGTCTTTCAATGGTCTGCATGTGAACGTTATTATGGGTCTGGGAAAGAACAGCTTCGTGCTGAGCACATTTCAAACAAAGACCAGCAACCCGGTTGGAAGTATTAGCAGCCAGAAGAAACTCTTTATGCTTTAGTTGCTCTTTAAGATCTTCACAAGTTCTCTGATATTCAGCTAAGTCTTTCCTAAAAAGAGGGGGAAAAAATTCTAGAAAATGGCCAGGTAAAATTACGTGACTTTAAAATGAATCATCATAATGTTAACTACTACTATCATTTATGGGCATTCACCTGATGCTTTAGTTTACATCCAATACCTTATTAACTTTTACCATGACCCTGAAACTTTTGGTGTGGTGATTGTAATTGACACGTTGAATATGACGAGATTTGAATATATTAAATAATTAGCTCAGGTTCTTGTAAGATTTTAATATTAGATTAGAGTCTGCCCAATACTGGCTCTCTTGTTCCAGGATCCAACCTCCATTAATGCTATATTAACCACAAAACAAAAATAAAACTCCAAATATAAATCCCAAATAGTTTTTCTTAAAAAAGAGGTGGGGTAATACAAGGCAACATACTTGAGGTGACGAAAATAACCTCTTTCAAGCATTAACCTCTTAAAATTTTTAGAGTACCTTAAAAGTTCACATAAAAAAACATGGATTTTTATCCTTGACTAGTTTATTACTGCCCATTTTTCTTCAGAAGGAAAACATTAGATAGATAATTATCTAACAACAAACTTCTACAAAGATCTGTTTCAAAAGAAAGTAAGTTACAGAAGGAAGTTACATAGAACTTGCCAGTCATAAGATTTCAGGGGTAGTAGCCATTAGCTAGAAACACAGGCTGCTAAAGAAAGGGCTGGGGGTGGTGGGGAGGTGTGAGTGCGGGTGTGGGTGCAGTTTTTGTTTGTTTTTACTTTATCAGCTCACCTCTGGATGAGGTTTTCTTCAAGGTGACTTTTTAAGGATTAAATGACTGGTGCATGGGTTGTATTTTCCTACCTTATCCTAGTAAAGCTGCGCTAAAGTCAACTTGGCGACTGAGCTTCCTTGCCTAGGTGGCTCTTGTACCATTGTTGTGTTTTTATTATTATTATTTTTATTTAAAAAAAAACAAAACAAAACTTTCAAGCTGAAAAATGAGACTACTGAAGGCAGGAACTTTATCTCCATCTCTGTCTACTCCCTACTGTCACTGTCAGAGTCTCCGTGCTCAGGGGCTATGGCCATCACAACTGGCTCCCTGTCACAGAGAAGAAGTCAACAGCCTGGCTGTCAGACAATTGTTGAGATTTCGGGGGTTGTCAAGCAACCCAGGAGAGGCAGAAAAGACCCACAGGCAATCTAAGGGTTAAAAAAAAAAGCTAATCTAATGGCATTCCAAAGTTGAGGGGAAAAAAGGAGCCGCTTCTACCCTATCCCCAAAATAATAACACCAACGTGGTAAGTTTTCTTTTTCAATACCATGTAGAGAATGTCTGACTTTCAAAGGCTTTATAAAAAGAACTTGGGAAGCACATTCCAAACTCAAAGGGTCCCCATTACTAATTTCGGTCAGGTCCAAACTCAAAACACTCAAGTAGATTTGGTTACTGGCAATGGCAAAAGAGAAAGTTGAAAAGAAGACTGATTTTATTTAAGAAAATGCCTATTTAAAGAATCTTAAATTATAGTAAAAGAAAATGAAGAAACAGAAGGATTCAGAGAACAAAGTCTAGTTCATTGCAAGTCGGTATTTTAATGTAATTAAAGATGAAATATCTGGATTCTGAATGAGACAAAATAAGTCACATTCCCCTAAGTACAATGATCTAGAAACATATCACTTTAAAAACTGAAGAATCAAGTCATTTAAAAAATCAAAATAAAATAAAGTAGGACAAAAAGCAAGAAAGCAAAAATTAGAGTAATTTTTAAATGTTATGTTTCTTTGTAAAAACAAAAAGTCGAAACCTCTAGAGAAATCCTAAAACTAATCAGGGTAATCTATGAAAAACATAAGAATATTTAAAAAATAAACAAGCACGTTCAATGAAAGCTATGAGTTCTGGCTTTTTTTTTTTTTTTTTTTAGATGGAGTATCCCTCTGTTACCCAGGCTGGAGTGCAGTGGCGTGGTGTTAGCTGACTGCAACCTCCACCTCCTGGGTTCATGTGAGCCTGCCTCAGCCTGCTGAGTAGCTGGGACTACAGGTGTGTGCCACCACACCCAGCTAATTTTTATATTTTTAGTAGAGACAGGGTTTCACCATATCGGCCAGGCTGGTCTCGAACTCTTGACCTCAAATGATCCACCCGCCTTGGCTTCCCAAAGTGCTGGGATTACATGCATGAGCCACTGCAACCGGCTGAGTTCTGGCTCTTAGTATTACTCTAGTTATGTCTCTAGATAGATATGGCCTGGAAGATTTTAAAATTTATTTCAAATTGGACTTATTAAAATAAAATGATAAACAGTATTTGAAAGTTTATTTGATTTAAAAATACTTCATTACCACTATTTAAAAATAATCTTTAACAACAAAAACATTAATTCCTGCTGTCTTTTTCTACTCATTATATGTAAATCACTAATGGTTAATCTATAATATATAGGTCTTACTGGGATCTCTAATAAATAGATTCTATAAAAACTATGTGAAGATTCATCATATACACTCAAATTCATGACGCATACAAATACTCAAACTATTATATTATCATTACAATTTTAAAATTAGATGAAGACTATCTACAGAGAAAAATACTAATAATTTGAAAACTAAAGTGCTTTCTTTTCATTATTATTTTACTTGAATATCATAATTTCTATAAGAGCAGTTAGTGAGTTAGTGATTCTTTTTTTTTTTTTTTTTGATACGGAGTCTCACTGTGTCACCAGGCTGGAATGCAGTGGCACGGTCTCAGCTCACTGCAACCTCCTGTTTCAAGTGATCCCGGGTTTAAGCAATTCTCCTGCCTCAGCCTCCCAGGTAGCTGGGACTACAGGTGTGTGCCACCACGCCCAGATAATTTTTGTATTTTTAGTAGAGACAAGGTTTCACCATGTTAGCCAGGATGGTCTCAATCTCTTGACCTCATGATTTGTCTGCCTCGGCCTCCCAAAGTGCTGGGATTACAGGCGTGAGCCACCACGCCCAGCCACGATTCTTATTTTTATGAGAAAACACAAGTATTTTACAACTGATGAAGAAATAGGAATGTGATTTGAAAAATAACTCAATTTTAGGCCATTTTATCCTTTAATAATCTGAGGAAAGTTTTTAAATTATATATAAAATGTCAGCAAGTAAGTTTGATAATGACTAAAACTAGAAGTTCAGCAAACATTCAAATATATTTTAAGATCATTATGCTTTTGGTATGACTATAAATGGAAGATTTCACTTTACCTCAAAAACTTCAGTTGGGATTCCTGAATTTCGTATTTTTCCTCATAAGTAAGTTTTAGCTTCTCCTATAGAAAAGAAAAATAAAAGTATATTTTTCTCCATGTCCTGTGTTTTATAAGTAAACTTTAATTTTTTTTTTTTGAGATGGAGTTTCACTCTGTTGCTCAGGCTGGAGTGCAGTGGTGCAATCTCGGCTCACTGCAAGCTCTGCCTCCCGGGTTCATGCCATTCTCCTGCCTCAGCCTCCCCAGTAGCTGGGACTACAGGTGCCCACCACCGCACCCGGCTAATTCTTTTGTATCTTTTTTTTCTTTTTTTTTTTTTTTTGAGACGGAGTCTCGCTCTGTCGCCCAGGCTGGAGTGTAGTGGCCGGATCTCAGCTCACTGCAAGCTCCGCCTCCTGGGTTCACGCCATTCTCCTGCCTCAGCCTCCCAAGTAGCTGGGACTACAGGCGCCCGCTACCTCGCCCGGCTAGTTTTTTGTATTTTTAGTAGAGACGGGGTTTCACCGTGTTAGCCAGGATGGTCTCGATCTCCTGACCTCGTGATCCACCCGTCTCGGCCTCCCAAAGTGCTGGGATTACAGGCTCTTTTGTATCTTTAGTAGAGACAGGGTTTCACCGTGTTAGCCAGGATGGCCTCGATCTCCTGACCTCATGATCTGCCAGCCTCGGCCTCCCAAAGTGCTGGGATTACAGGTATGAGCCACTGTGCCCACCCATAAACTTTAATTTTTAATATTAAGTTCAATTTTTCCTTTTTACCCAAGGTGGGGGAAACATGTCTTCCTAGAAAATATTTTCCTAGTCCACCCCAAATTTTCTATTTTTATTGTGTGAATGCCTGCAAAGAACTGCTGAGTCATAAAATTGATTTTCTTTTTCTTTCAAAATTGCATATATCAGGTCTTATCCCTAAAAGTGTGACTCTGGGAAAAAAACAGTTGTAACCCATAAGGTCCATTAGGGCAAAGATCAGATCTTATTAGACTCCTTCATTGTGGCTGTTGAATATTTGACATACAATAAATATGTGCTAGATGAATGATCAAAAGTAAAGTTTTAAATCACATGATGATAGACTAACTCCTACAAGCCTCTTGGTATCCGGTTATTCTTTCATTCAACAAATATTTATTGTGTATCTAAGATGACGGTGGCTTGGACTTCAAGGAACTTATAAAATATCCCAGAAAGGAATAGAAAAATGAAGAATTTCAATTACAGTTGACCCTTAAATAACATGGAGGTTAGGGGCATTGACCCCTGTACAGTTGGAAATCCATGTATAATTTCTTTTTTTTTTTTTTGAGACAGAGTCTCACTCTGTCGCCAAGGCTGGAGTGCAGTGGCATAATCTCGGCTCACTGCAACCTCCACATGCTGGATTGAAGCTATTCTTGTGCCTCAGCCACCCAAGTAGCTGGGATTACAGGTGTATGCCACCATGCCTGGCTAATTTTTGTATTTTTAGTAGAGATGGGGTTTCACCATGTTGGCCAGGCTGGTCTCAAACTCGTGGGCTCAAGTGATCTGCCCGCCTCAGCTTCCCAAAGTGCTGGGGTTACAGGCATGAGACCCTGAGCCTGGCCCCATGTATAACTTTGACTCCCCCAAAACTTAATTACTAATAGCCTACTATTGACTAGAAGACTTACCAATAATATAAACAACACATATTTTGTATGCTATGTGTATTATATACTGTATTATTACAAGAAAGTAATCTAGAGAAAAGATAACGTTATTAGGAAAATCAGAAGGCAAAGAAAGTGGTATTTTCTTCATTAAGTGGAGGTGGATCATCATAAAGGCCTTCACCCTACCATCTTCACAGAGTAGGCCGAGTTGGAGGAGGAAAAGGACGGGGTGGTCTCGTCTTCTCGGGGATGGAGGAGTTGGGAGGGAAGGCAGGAGAGGCAGGTGAACTTAATTTTATGGAAACACGTGGTAATTTCTGTCTCACTTTGTTGTGCTCTTTCTTTTTCTCTAAAATTGTTTCTACACAATATCAACCCTTCTTCCATTTGCTTTAGTTCCAGTGCCTATATCATAGAAGGGTCCATGTCATAAAAGAAGTCAAAAGCAGTCTTGAATAATCAGAACCCTTCTGCCAGATTATCTCATGTCAATTTGCTTTCTGGCACTGCTTCTTCTATGTCTTCTTCCTCATTTTCTGGCACTGGTTCAGAAGCATTCATCTCCATCAAGTCATCTTCTGTTAATTCCTTTGTGTGGTGTCTATTAGCTCTCAAATTTCTCCAAGATCCCTATCTTGAAACCCTTCACTCCCAACCTTTTCCACCACATCCACAATCTCTTTCATGATTTTCTTGACCGACTGCTGTAAATCTTGTAAAGTCATGCACCACATTTGGACAAAGTTTTCTCCAGCAGGAATTCATTGTTATGGGTTTGATGACTTTCGTGGCTTTTTCTATAACAATGATGGCATTTTCAATGCTGTAATTCTCTCACACTTTCATGATGTTCTTGCTACTGGGGTTCCCTTCCATTGCGTTGAAAATCCTTTCCATAGAGTATCCGTGTGTAATGAGCCTTAAAGATACTTATGACTCCCTGGATCTTGAGGCTGAATTAGAGACACCGTGTTTGCAGGCAAGGAGACCACTTTGATGCCTTTAGTGTTGAACTCGTGGGGTTCTGGGTGGCCAGAGTCATTGTACAATATCAAGAAACTTTAAAAGGCAGTCTCTTACTGGCAAGGTACTTCCTAACTTCAGGGACAAAGTATCAATGGAACCAGTGTAGAAAAAGGTTTCTTATTGTCCAGGCCTTCTTGTGGCACAACCAAAAGACTAACAGTTGGTGTTTATCTTTTCCCTTCAAGTCTCATGAGTTAGGAGCTCTGTAGATAACGGCAGTCCTGATCATAAACCTGAGTACATTTTACAAAACAATAGAGTTAGCTTATCCCTTCCTGCATCAAATCCTGGTGCTCACTTCTCTTCCATACTAATAAAAGTCCTTTGTGACACTTTTTTCCCCCTCAGAATAGAGCACTTACATCTGCATTAAAAACCTATTCAGGTAGATATCATTTCTCCTAAATAATTTTCTTCCTTTTTTTTTTTTTTTTTTTTGAGACAGAGTCTCACTCTGTCACCCAAGCTCGAATGCATTGGTGCGATCCTGGCTCACTGCAACCTCCACCTCCTGGGTTCAAGTGATTCTCGTGCCTCAGCCTCCCGAGAAGCTGGGATTACAGGCACATGATACCATGCCTAGCTAATTTTTGTATTTTCAGTAGGGACAGGGTTTCTCCATGTTGGCCAGGCTGGTCTTGAACTCCTGACCTCAGGTGATCCACCCACCTCAGCCTCCCAAAGTGCTGGAATTACAAGTGTGAGCCACCACACCCAGCCTCTCCTAAATAATTTTCATAATGGCATCTTGAAACTTGTCTGCTGCCTCTTGGTCAACAGAAGCTGCTTCTCTTGTTATCTTGACATTTTTAAAGCCAAATCTCTTTCTAAAATTATCAAACCATCCTTTGCTGGTGTTAAATTCTCCAGCTTTACATCCTTTACTTTCCTTATTTTTTTAAGTTGTCATAAAATGACTTCTTTTTTTCTTCTCAAATTATATTAGAGTCTACAGGTATGCTTTTCTTCAGAAATGCTGTACCCACATAAAACTTGCATTTTCCATGACAGATAAAAAGGCATTGGGCAAAAGTATAAAGTTTTTGTACGTGTTGGCATGGCTGCAGTGATGGTTTCACAAATTTTCTTTTCTTTTTGTACAATGGTCCTCATATTGGATTAGTTTATCTAGAAATGGGGCAACCACAGCTGCTGACTTCAATCTATGGAACGTATCAAGCAATGTAACTTTTTCCTGTAATGTCATGACATTGCTTCTTGGGAGCGCTTCCAGCATCACTAGTGGCACTTTGCATGGGCCTCATGGTGTTATTCAAGGTTTACAGTATCACACTAAACATGATGAAAACTACACGAGAACTGCCAAGAGATCACTTTTTACTGTAATATGCAATTTACTGAAGAGACAAACTGTTTACACAGAGATAACTAGTGTCACATGGTATTTTAAGCAGACAATTGAAACACCTGAACTCACCACAATAGCAATAGGAGATGGTTATGAAATTATTATAGTAGTACAGTATGTGCTACATTTAACTTTATGCTGTTATAATTTAATACTGCATCTTTATGTTTTTTTGCATTCCTCCTGACTGAGAATGACTCCATGTACAGTCTGTAAGTGATAGTGTTCATAGGTTTTGATAAATTTTAACTTTCTATAATAGATTTGTATATTTTATGGTAGTAGATGATAAAACAGACTATTAGCTACATATATTTTATTCATTTATGACATACCTCTTTCTTAATTTTTTCATATTTCTAGGCTACATGGTTCATCTGCAAGTTTTTTCAAACTGCCACAAATCTCAAAAAAATTTCTGATATATTTCTTGAAAAAAATACACATATAAGTGAACCCACACAATACAAACCCATATTATTCAAGGGTCAACTGTTCATAAATTGCTCTAGTGAAGTATATGGAAATTGAAAAATTTAGAGAGGCAGGAACTCCTAATTCAGCCAAAGAGAAGTAAAGAAGGCCTCACAGGGGAAATGTTAAGTCGTGAAGGATAATTTCCAGTAGAGCAGAAGGCACAGAGGCTGAAGGAACCATGCTATATGTTTGAACAGTAAGTCGATCAGTATCACTAGAATGTAAAATGCGAGGTGGAGGGGTGGTTGGAGATGGGTAAAGTAGGTAAAGGTGGGCCACAAGAAGAATAAAAATATCAAGACTTTTATTTGGTACACATGTCTCCTGTACTTTCCCCCTAGAAGAAACACTGGAGGGCCACTGAAAACTTTTTATCAGAATTGAGTCTTAAATCATAATTGAAGTGTGAAGAAAGGGAAACCAGTAATTACAAATACATAGGTAAGAGATAAGCACATGAACAAAAGCAATCAAGCAGTAGGAATTAAAAAGAAAGGATTTAGTACAGAGATATTTAAGAGAAAAACTGACAGAATTTTATGACAGAATAGATA